AGCCGCCACTTCGAGGACTGGGTGAGTTCGGCGCCTCCTGGTCCGGGAACCCAGATGTGGGGTCTCGGAGAAAGACTTGCTGGCCTTCGTATTGGTCCTGGGGCTCGGAGACTACTGGGTGTGTGTGTGTGTGTGTGTGTGTGTGTGTGTGTGTGTGTGTGTGTGTGTGTGTATTTAAGTCTCAGTTTCCTTGGGGAGGCACACTTCACTTAGTAGCTGGGGAGTAATAGGCATTGGGGTTAAGATGATGAGACTTGGAATGAGGTTACGGCCCTCTGTCCCTTCCGTGACCTCCAGACAGCGGGTGCTGCTGGGGGCTTGCAATCTAGGAGAGCCCCGAGCCACTGGTGCTGAAGGTTGGCCGAAGACCAGCCTCCTTCCGCAGGCGCGTGGTGGGCTGGCTGTGTGTGACTGTGTGTGGGTGGGTCCCTCCGTCCTTGGAGAGGCACGTGGAGCCTCACACTGAAGGCTTCTTGCACGTCCTGGCTTTGTCCTGCGTAGCCCAGTGAGGAGTTGCTTTATTTTTCCTTACGAGGGGAAGCTTGCTTGTTTCTATTCCGCTGCATGGTAGTTAGCTCATCTTCTGACATGCGGGGAGAAAAATGTGTTCTCCTCCAGGATGTCCCCTCTAGGCAACTGTTCTGCCCAGTTCATTGCCCATTCATCCAGAGTGAATGTTATATTTTAAAAATGGTTCAGCTTGTGGGTAATTAGAAGTCAGCGCTTTAAATCTTACTTAAAGTTATATTGTTTCCCTGTTTTGATTGTCAAGATACTGTGCGATGAAATACTGTTTCTAAATCTGAGATTGAGTTGATTGATTACATTGTCAAAATATCAGGGACTTGGAAATGGGCCTTGTCAGTGTACTATAAACCAAACGCATTCAACCTTGGCACTTAAACAAGCAGAGAGAAGCAAGCTCGTTTTTCAGCTATTCTTGGAAGGAAAGTGTTAAATTAGGAAATGGATTTCTGTATTTTCAGGTTTGTTACATGTTTCCACCAAGAATAAGTGTCACTCTGGATGCATATGTTTTCAGGGTTCTTTGCTACACAGACAGATATCTGAGCCTCATGAAGAGATGTAGAAGAATTACTTTCTATTGAAAAACACATAACTTTATAAGTGTCCTGGGGTCAGAGGTTACATCTGAATCACGTTGGCATATCACATTATGTTATTTTTCAAGGACTTGGAGTTTAAGGGGAAAAAATAGGAAAAAGCCTGTTCTCTTTATGCTCATGGCTGTGATGTAGTCTGCCTGAAACCATGGTTACTGGGCTTACAGGGAAGCTCCAACAAGCGACACCAGTACAACTCTAGGAGATTTGTGTCTTACACTTTGGGAAGCAGGCAAACCTTTATGGAATCCCAAAGAGTTCAGTGCCATACCATTCCACTTCACAGATGCCCCTCACCTCTGCCCTCCCATCCCCAAAAAGAGTTCCACTCATTCCCTGTTTCCTTTCCACACATGGTCTTAGTTCTTTTACTCGTGTAAGCAGAGAGTGCATGTCTGAGGAGGAGCAGTTCAGAGCCAGACCTCAACACTTAAAAACCTGTGATTTTGAAGTTCTTGTTGTTTTTGAATGAGAAGTGGAAGAAAACAACTTGACTATGGTAGCTAGGAGATGGGGGCCTTCTGAGGGATCTGCAGCTGAGTAGGTTGGACCTGGGGCAGAGAGCAGGGAAGGTGAAGGCAGGTCTGCATTTATCCACAAAACAGATGTCTTCTGGAGGGAGGCTGTCTGAGTGTCTCTGATGATGCTTCACTGGGGTCTGCCGCAAACTCGGGTGCATCAGAGCAACACTCCCACCCTTTGGCACTTCTAGTGAAGCACACAGTGAGAACTACTTGCTTGGTTACCATACTCTAAGCTCTTAAATTCATGTTGGACTTAGCTCTAGACCAGATCATCTAGGGCACAGGCAGGTTTTACAGATAAGGACATTGAGTCCCAGAGAATCTAACTGGGTACCCAAAGTCATCTGACAAGCAGAGGTGTACTGGAAGTGGAGCCCTCACCTCCTATTGTCCACTGCTTGCCTGGTGGGGAACAGAGCCCCTCTGACCTCCTGGTCTATTCTCCCTACAGATTTATGTGCTGTTACTAATGTTTTCACTATGCATGATTACTTAAAGTACTTTCAAAATCATCATCTCTTTTGCCTTATAGCAAGTATGAATTAGGTATAATAGGTATCGGACAGGTTAAAAACCTTGAGATACAGAGAAGCCCACAGTCATAGGCTGAATCACAGAGTAGAGCTGGTTCTGACTGCTCATCT